TGCACTGCATATTCGTAGGGGTTTCAAATCAACTCGATTGGCCGCGTGGCGGGCAATCCCTAGGGGTCACTTGATTACGTAGCCCGGCACGTGATTTGTGATACGTGCCAACTGCGCTGGGCGCAGCCCAGGGACGGCCCTTCTATGTAGGTAAACAAAACAAAACCAACAAATATTCCCTCCGTTTCCCGTCCCTCTGTTTTCCTCCTTCTTCTTTCCTAGGAGTGGGTGGGTGGGTGATTTTAAATGCAGTGCAAGCGTGGCGTGAAGGCGGATGACAGGTGAGGAAGAGGGGAAAAGCCAAGACAGATGCAGGCGGGGGACGCACTCCTTTTTGTCCGCCCGCTTCCGTGTACACAGACATTGCCAGTGGTGGTGTGAATCCATAGCTTATGTGGCTTGGCAAACCGCGCGCATAGTGTCGAGGTACCGAAAGGGCATTCGCTAACGGAGCCAAGATTCGCGGCCAACCCCCCCCCCCCCCCAAGTCTGTTCAGCGAAGTTCCGTTTTCTTTTTCTGTTGTCATTCTTATACAGTCGAAACTCGGCTATATTAACGACGAGTTGTGGGGTTCTCAGCTGGGCTGCCAGATGAGTTGAGAAAACAAGTCGAGAGGACACACAGACGCGCGCACAGGCAGCCTTTAAACAATCTAATCATCGCACCGCATTGCTCACTTAAAGGCGGCAATCGCCAAGCAACTTCAGCAAGTAGGAAAAGATAAATATCTCAATGATCGTAAACCAGGTAAACTTGCTATCATAACATAGATATCAATACTATTATACCTAAATCATCGCCGGATTAGCCTAAATCTGTCAGAGGTGGAATTACCTGCTCGGCACGCCAGTTTTCCAAGGCTTTAATAGACGAAGAGGTGTCTGGATGCTCCGTTCCCAGTACTTCAAGGCGGATTTGGACGCATGAGTCCATCAAATCAAGAGCATCAGTGATGCGTTTTTGAGAATACCAGGTGAAAGCCAGGTTGGCCATGCTGGTAAGCGTGTCAGGATGGGTAGGCCCCAGTTTCTGCTTGCACATCTCCATCACTTTTACCTCCAGCTTCTCCGACTCTTCCCATCGGCCTTGGTTCCGGTATGTTACAGCCAGGTTACTCATGCTGATGAGCGTGTCAGGATCTTCCTCCCCAAGAACCTCTTGTCGTATGTTCACTGACTGGACTGCGCTCAACTCCGCTTCCTTCCACTGACCGCTGTAAAGAAAATAACCTGCCATGCGAAGTAAAAGACTGGCCCTCTTAATTTGCTGACTATACAACCCGGTTTCATTGTTACCGAGCACAGCAATAGCATGAGGAAGATAGTCCACACAAGCCTGCCGAGTCTCATGGCGTCCATAAGGATATGCCTCAGACACCGTCTTCAGAGCGCGTTCTGCGAACTCAGCAAACTTGTCTTGCATTACAAGCCACTTTCGTGTTACTAGCTGGACCAATCGGTGCATGTCAATTGTGTTGTCTTTTGTCTCTGCCACGAGTGAAAATGCTTTGAGGGTACCTAGTGCTTTGGTAACCCCTGCTATACTGGTCTGTTGTACGCTTTTGCAACTCTCATCACAGTAGCTCATAATAAAACTTTTCGGAATGGCTTGGCGGTCTAGGAGACTGATGAAGGACAAGATCTCGCTAGCGAGAATGTCTTGTCGTTGGATCTGATTGAAAGAGACGATCCATGTAGCTGTGACTGCATTTGGTGTATCCGAGTCCCTGCCGACTGTTTCAAATGGCTCATTGAGCTGCTCAACAAATGTATCTTCGTTCTCGTCCAGGATTTGAAGGTATTCGTCGGTCGATATGCTGTTCTCTTGAATGAATGCGGCTGCCTGCGCGATGGCCAGCGGAAGATACTCAAGGCGTGCAAAGAGACACGCGGCCTCTTCCGCAGGGATCCGGTCGCCTAGTGTCTTGTGTAGCAATCGTCCTGCCTCGCTTTCGCTCATCTTATCGACTTCAACCAATGGCGACTTTCCCTGCAAGAATCTCACTGCCGTTTTCTTGTCCCTAGTTGTAATCAGGATAGATCCGTGTGTGCAGTCTGGAAGATAGTCGCTCAAGCGGTTCGATGTCGTGGCGCTATTTGCCGCGGCGGTGTCAGCTTGCTCTGACTTGGATGGGAAGAAGAGCTCGCTATTGTCGGCGTTGTCGATGATCATAGCCCATCGGCCACGCTCTCTCTTCTCTAACCATCTGCGCACGAGCATTGGCACGTCAGACTTGGGATCGTCCCACCCGGGAACCTGACACTCTTCTGCAATAGAGGTAAATGCTTGACGAAAGCGGTCTGCACTGCTCGCATGAACCCAAAAGACAGACGTGTCTAGAAGGTTATCGTAGATCCAATATGTGAAGGCAAGCGCGATCTGAGTTTTCCTATATTGCTTATTAGAATATAGTATGATGGAATACATGACTTGAAGTTCACATACCCAATTCCACCAAGGCCGAAAAGCGACACTCTGGGCTGCCGCGCAGCCTGGCTTTTGCTATAGCCAAATTGTTCTTTGATTTTCTCTAATATCAAAGACCGGCCAATATAGTCTGGGTTTTGGTTATATGGTACGAGAACTGATTCATTTAGTACCACTCCAAAAATTCTAGCCTGCGACTCGTTACATACATTTCGTGCTGTTGTCCCTAAGCCGGCGCTGCACACCAAGGGCGCGTTTTGCAAGGCCTCGGAGTCTTTGTAGTGTCTGTTCGTATTCATGGTCCTCCTGCCCAAACTTGACCATGTCTGAATGCGACCGGTTGATGGCACAAATATGCTCTGGCCCATCCTCCCAGGGCCGACAGTGTGTGGCTGAAGACTTTGCAACAAGTACTGCCTTTGGCCCAGCCATACGCCACCTGCCATTTTCATCCTCTTACAGGTTAGCAGTAGTCATTAAAAGCGGGTGTGATATGAATACCTGTAGAGCCGTTGGCGATTCAGTAGTCTCATAGAAACAAAACACTTCTGTGTGACCTTCTGGCCCTAGCGCCTTATGGAAGTCTCTTTGTTGAATGCTGAGGATCTGCGAGTTGATCCGGCTGATAGAACCAATAAGCTCGCGGTTTGGCCCATCCTTTACCATCGGGATAAGTGAGCCGATGTCCATACCATCGTGAGGAACTCCAAAGAAGACGATTCCATAGACGGCTCGAATGATTCTCTTATGGGCTTCCTCTTTCGACTGTGCTAGTGTGATAAGAGCCTTACTTGCGAGTCAGCACAGTGATAGTCATAAACCAGCATCTAACCACCAACCTGCTTCACAATCAATCCACCCAGGCTATGAGCGATGAAGATTAATGGCCTAGCACTCCGGGAAGACATGAGCGTGTCGAGGCTTTCGCGGAATGACGTGGCGATGTCTTCTAAATTTTGCATGCTGCTGCTGTTCGCAACCGCAGACTCGTAGCCATATGTAATCACGCGGGCCATCGGACAGCCGGTGTGCTCCCAAAGCAGATGGCACGGCAGAGCGTCCCGTAGCCACATGTGCTGGCCTTTTCGTTCTTTAAACGATCCGAAAGCATGGCTACCTAGACCAGATATGGCCAAGATGCTGCTCTAGTTAGTCTTTTGTAATTTTATTTGCCTGAGGAACTCCACTTGGTGGTCCTCTGGTGCAGGAGAAAAAAGGGTGGTAAGCCCAAGAAAGCGGGTGTCAAGTACGAGGGACTGTTCGTCCTTTTCAGGCTGTGGGCTATCCACACGAAGCGTCTCTGGGGGCTTTGTGCCACTCTGGAATGTGATCGTTCCAGTCTGCGAGCGACCATGTGTTTCAATGGCGAGTGATTTCACAGCTGGACTTATGCAACCGTCGTGTTCTGCCAGGAATGTTTGCAGCTGAGCTTTATTCCATGTGATAGACACACCACGGATACGGTAGGTTTTGCTTTCGCCCTCTTTGGCTTGTACCAGTGGCTTCGTGAAAGCTGATGAGCGTGATGAAATCAGGAGTCGGCGATAAATTACAATACTCAGGATCGCAAGGACGGTCAACAGTCCGATTGATTTGAGGTCCACCCGGGCCATGTTCAAACTTATGAATAGACGAAGATGATAAAGGATCCGCGGCTGCATGACTGTTCGATATACTATTTTCAGCAGATGCTTGTCGACAAGTGAATAGAGTTGAACTTGTGGTGAAGTGAGTCACCTCCACATTATGGTGGGGTGAAGCCATCTTCCTCGGGCAGCTGAAAGCCTTGTGGAACAATGGCGGCTTACGTGAGGTAGCACAACAGGCAATAAAAGCACTTAATCGGACCGGTGGCTCCCTTGACTGATCAGGCTGTGAGAGGGCTGGTTAGGCAGCAAGGTGGGGTCACTTCCAGCGTTTAAGCATCTGGTGTGTCGTGAGAGACATTATACAGGCGGGTGATAGCTGATAGCCGGAATAGTTGAGACCAGATAAAATGAGAACGCTCTCGTGACTACACAGATGCTTGCCGCATTATGCGAATCTGTCTGATCGCTGTATTTGATGGTTGATACAAGATGAAACAGGAAGAGCCCCAGCCAAACAGCCAGCACAACATCCACAGCCCCAAAAGCAAACGCCATAGATATCAGCGCAACACCGTGGGACAAGCCTGAAAGCGATCATGGTGTCCAAGTTTTGACCATGTCTGGCATAGTTACTGGAGACATATAACGAGTAGATAAACTACCGGCGGGGTCTGGGATGGCTAAGTTCTTCCAAAGTCTTGTCCTTGATCGATACATGGTCGGGCTTTGGAAGCGCGAGCTCGTGCTGGAACTGCAATAGGTTGTAAAACCCTGTTACTGAGGCAAACAGCCCTAGCTCAAGAGCGTGGAAAGTGCGATCTATTGGCAATCCGGGAGTATGGAAAGTCCACGATGGTTATGGGTCTCCTTCACCCAACCAGTCGAATGGCGTGGATGGCACGGCGAGTTCAGAGCGGATGCGAAGATATTGTCGACTTCTTGTAAACCCACCCACATCGGCGACCCGCTGGGTTGTCCCGAAAGGGATTCAGAGACAGGGGCAGCTTCTCTCAATATGTCAATTGAACTTAAGTCGGCGCTACCTTTTATCAAAAGAGGGGCCTTCTTGAGAGCCGCAGAGATCTGAAGGGCGGTGGGCGCCTATGTAATCAACTGCCAGCCAGCTGCGCTACACCCACGCGCACACTCTCTCATTGGTTGAGTCAAAGAGAGGCCTCTCTGGCTGCTCGGAATCAAAATATAACCTGTCTTTGCTCTGAGAAATCGCATCCGAGAATAGACCCTGATCATGATAGTTACTCTGGGCGTGTTGCAAGTAGTGGACTCGACAGAACCATCTCCAAACGCGTCAGACACGGTCTACGCGAGAAATTAAAGGTTCTACTGCTGCTTGAGCGATTATCGCCATTATGTGGACACCCCAGGTCCCTCGAGTGGCCTGGTAATTGAGCCGCTTGATCTTGAATTGAGGGCTTTTCGTTGCCTTGGTTATTGGAGAGAGGATGGGTTTTCCTCTAATTTTGATGATTGCTCCTGAGATGTCACTCTGGCTTTATAGTACGTGGCCTCGAGAATTGCACCAAATTGTGTGGATTTTACAAACGGAGTGTTCTTTCCTTAACTTTTCTCTCCTCATGATAACAAGACAACCAACCGCTGCTATGGCTCAACAGTTGTATCGGTATTACGGGAATTTGTGATGTAGTCGTTCGGTTTCCTAACGACGTCCTAAGCTTTAATGACGGCTGTGATTATTGGTAGGGCTTCGTTGTGCGTACGCACGGTAATCGCTAGCGATTGGGTTGATTGGTGATTCTTGGTTGTTGGTCTATGGTGTTTCCGACTACGCGTGGGCGTGCTGCGCAGGTTTGTTGGGCTACGCGGCCGCCGGGCCGTCGCCAGCTGTTTGCCAGCTCGCGGGCCAACCTACCTACGCACCGCCATCGCTACCAAATCCACAGTGATCAACTCCGACATCATATTCGCCGTCTCGTGCCGACAAGTCTCTGATACGATATGACATGACTCCACACATACATTAGGAGACACCGTGTACTTATATGCGGTATTGCGACTTGTTTCAGTGCCATTGGTGGGACTACCCTCTACGACAGGCTGGCCCAATAAGCCGGGCGTTGCGATCTGCAGCTGCCACCTTGGCAGGGCGGCCGGGTGGGAGAAGGCTCGGGACTGCACTTCAAGCTTTATAGTCTTGTATCCGACAGTACTTGTTAAGATAGTTCCGCCATTTAGCCTTTCAGGCGAAAAAAAAAAGTGAATGGATGTCTTCAACTATAACAGTGACAATGACGTCTCTTGAATACGCCTCTTTGCGCAAGCCTCGAGAATTTCGTCTGATCAATATTCGGCCTGGTGCCGCAACCGATCCTCTGAGTCTAGATCTATCGCAATCAATATTGGATGAAAAAGACAACCCGTGTTTGAGGCCTTGTCCTACGTGTGGGGATCTCCCAAGGACATGGCCACGGCTCAGGTGCTAGTCCAAACCGAAGATGATACCACTGCCACGAGCCATGTATCGATTGGACAGAACCTCGCCGATGCGCTGAAGCACCTCCGTCGCCAATCTGAGACCAGAATGTTTTGGGCTGATGCCATCTGCATTAACCAGAAAGATCTTGCAGAGCGGTCACAGCAGGTGTTGCTGATGGGGGTTATTCACGGTCTCGCATCCGGGGTCGTCGCATTTCTCGGACCAGAGGCTGGTGGTAGCAGCGCTGCCCTGGATTTGATTGAGAAGACCGGAAGTTTGGTAGACCGGAAGTTTGGTAGAGGTGAACTTCCTGTCAGGACAGGTCCTCCCAAGTGTCATGGGTCACGACTGTGGAGAGCTCGGATGGGCAGACATGCAGCAACCTCCGCCATTTGGCCGCTAAGAACTAGAGTCGATCAGCCTTCTTCTGGGTCGAGAGTGGTTCGAGAGGCTCTGGATTCGGCAAGAGATCGGTCTTGCAGGGCCGAGAGGACCGTATAAAGGATTAAGCTCGCCCTTTCGTGTTGAACTCATAATTTCTTTAGTTGCAGCGCTTATAGAACGGCCATATCAGTAAGCTTTATCACTGTACAGTGTGGGCACAGAAATATACCTTGGACTCTCTTCTGTAGAGCAATCTTTGTCATCCGAAGAAAGCTAATGGTACCGGGCTTGACGAGCCGAGGCGAGACAAGGGACTTCCAGAGTTGCTTACAGGTTGCTGACAATGTGGCCTTGCAGGCCATGGGAGGGTATGGGCTTCTTCCGCTCCGGAAGCAGGCCGGACACGCCAAATGCGCAGACCCCCAGGACCGACTCTACGGACTTCTTAGCCAGCACCCTGAACGCGACCGCGCTGGTATCGTGCCTGATTACAAAAAGCCCGTTTTTGATATCTACATCGAAACAACTCGCGATCAGATACGCCGTCGCCGTCGACTAGATATTATTACAGAATGCGAGCTGGACGAGCGAGCATCCGCACTTGTCCTTCCGCACTTGTCCTTCCGAGCTGGGTCTCTGATTGGTCTACGCCCATCGACACGGCAGATATCCACGATTTTACACCAGAGCTGTTCCATTTGGGACCTTCCTTCACCTACATCGACAGCACAGTGATTCATGCCACGGGTGCCCACATATCCCGTGTTGCTTGCGTTATATACTTTGACAAGGGGAAGATGTATAGCGGCAGTGACGCCGATACGGCAGTCTATTTGCGCACACTATTCCTTACGCTAGCGGAGAATCAGTATTCTCAAACCACCAACCTGATCCAGCGGCAGCACTTTTGGGAGGCATGCTGCCGGACTCTATGGTTCAACAACTTTTCGGAAAGATGGGTTCCCCCTGTGGTTCATGAACCACGATATCACGAGTGCCTGGAAATGATCAAGATGCTGGCAAACCCTGACAGCTCAGTTGATGAATTCCATAGTCTCTCAGACGCGAGCCTCTATCTCCAACGCTGTCGGGACGCCTGTACATCTCGCGCACTTTACTGAAGACGGCCACCTCGGGGCCGCGGCTGAGTCGGTCTCTGTAGGCGGTCAGGTTACTGTCTTGTCTGATTCCTTTACTCCAGTAGTCCTGCGGCCAGATAGTCTGGCCATCAAACAATACCGCGTTCTCAGCGCCTGTTATTTGGATCGTGGGATGCACGGCGAATCGCACTTAGGAGACTTGCCAACAAAACTTCATGGCGTGCTAAATGGCAAGGGTTCGAGGATGCTATGGGGTGCGGCGTACATGGATGTATATACCAGAGTCATATACCAGGATGACCCGAGGAATGAACCATTCCGTCTGGGACTACACAAGAGGGGCTTCCTCGCGGAGTCGTCGTTGGTGGAGCTCAAACCGGCTGGGGCTTGGGATGTTTTGAGCAGGGCTGGATTCCCTGTTCAGACTTTTGAGCTGATCTAAAGGAACGTAGTGGACCATGTTTTGCCTTTCTACATAAGTTCTCATTCCCTGGTGGATAGAGACGAGCCAGTGCCGACAAGTTGAGCGACCGAGTAACCCAAGGCTACAGTTGAATCTGCACATCACACGGCCTTGTCCCCATCGACACAGACACACAGTTGTCAACAAGTCTCTGCAAGCTTCGGCAAAGACAGCTTCACGAAACCACGTAATGGTAAAGAACTGCGGGATCTAGCTACTATTAGCTAGAAATCCCAAGACTCCTCTGCCAACGGGAATAGCATATCCATGGCATCCAGTTTAAGAATGACAACTTATACCTTGAAATGGAATTACCAATTCAGTACATCAAACTTCAAGTTTCAACACTATGGGAGTGATTACTGCAGCTTTCAGATATTAATAACCAAGTCAATGTGAGTACAGATGCTAAAGGAGAGAATACACTGCAATACTGGGCTCGGCTATAGGAATAAAAGCTTGATTTATTGTATTGCTAGGAGCCATATTCAGACATCCGAATTGATAAGTTCCCAAGGTTCAAAACGGGAACCATGGTATTCGGAACGGGAAAGATTTCAAATAAGAGGCGCAAAAAGGTTCAGAGGTACCTCCTTGATGCTTCCATGATTCGCGAGATCGAGAGGCCTTTTTAGCTTTCCAAGATCCTAGACGGCAAAACATCTTGCCTTCTGGGATTCTTCTTGAGTTTCAAGATATATATATCTTGCTGCACAGCCAATTCGCAGGGATCAAGAGTACGTCTTTTAACAACATCACATGGCACTCGCTATGATCTCAAGTTTCAACACCGGTTGTCAGGTAACGTGTATGCAAATGCAGTCAAATTCATCGCTGATCTACCAATATGTCCAATGCTACCAGAAAGACTCACCATCCTCACCATGGTGCTTTGCCTGGTATTGTGATGTAAGCCATATTTGTCTGCATGACCATATTATATTGCCGTCGCTTCGTGCATGCCTGGCGATTCGCCCGGCTCACTCTCTTTCTCTCTCCCGGTCACGAATTCAGCAGGGCTTAACCCCCGTTGTGCATTGTTTTGAGCCAGCCGTGTTGTCCCTTCTCACGTCCTCTGGCCCCTCTGCGTTATCCACCTGTCTGCCATGAGCTCTAGCTGTGCCAGCCCTAATTATTACCAACATCGGTGTCTATTAGACGCATCGTCACAGCTGCCTCGGGTCGGTACGTAGGGTTTAGGGAGAGTCATGCAGGGTGGTCGTCGTTAAGGGGGGAGTGGGCGGCCGCCATGCGGAGTAGGTTTGTCTACCGACTCCAACTGCGGCCCGTCCACCGGCCGCCTTGGGCTGAGATAAGCACTAATTTGATTGTGTACCTTCTTGAGTCAAATCACCATCACGCTTTCTATCTATATACAAGGGCCTTCCCTCTCCATTTCTGCTTTTAGAGACAACAAGCAACTCTATTCTCTCTTTCCAAAAGCTATGAAAGACATTAATCTAATTGTAGACAACAAACACTAATTTAACTACGTACCATAAGCACTAATGTAATTGTATACTATAAGCACTAAGTTGAATGAAACTAGGATATCTCGTTAAAATCCCCTCATCTTCGGATAATGATCAATTACCGATCTATCTGTTTATCTGTTGGCATCGCCTTTGTTGGATCTCAAGCATTCAGCCAACTCACGCATCCATACCATGTCCGACCTAGATAACGCCATGTATCCGCTTTTGTCCTTCAAATACAACCCGACGAAACCAGCGGCAAAGAACGTTCAGCTGAATGAGGATGATCGCCTTCGTTACCATGATGACAAGTTGCGCATCCAGGCATTGTCAATGAACGAGGTGTCCGAGCTGTCCTCTGCCTCGTACCTCGTGTCAGGTTTGCCTGCTGTCGACGTCACGATGTTATCAAATCTTCAAACTGGCCTTTCGGTGTCGGATGTGATAGAAACACCACAGCGGGTGAGGGCAGAAGCAGAAGCACAAGCACAAAGAGAAACAGAAGTGTATTCCACTTCAGGTCCCACTTTGACCAATTTCCACATATTCGGATACCTGCCCGCAGAGCTTCGCATCAAAATCTGGATTCTGTCCTTCCTGCCGCGTGTTGTCGAGTTACATCCCACCTGGCCTAACGACGTTGTCGTTCGTGATGATGGCCGCCAGCACCAGTGGCAGTCCGGTTGCAACAACCCGGCAGCTCTTTCTGTGTGCTCAGAGGCCCGCGAGATAGCCCTGGGACACTTTCGCATCGCCTACCCTCTCATTTCAATTACCAATCAGCGAGACACACTACAACCGTTCACCAGGTACGCTACTGAAATTGGCACAGATGCTTTTCACAACACTAATTTCAACGGAAAAAAAATAGTCTTCGCCGGCGTATACTATATATCTCACCTAAGTACGATACTGTGGCGTTACTTGGCCAGGAGTTCGACTTTGCCAAGCTTCCAAAGCTGATCAATTTATTCCGTGAGATTGATCCGAAAGGGCTAGGTATCAGCAATTTAGCGTTAAGCACGAGTGGGCGGGATTACGATGGATCGCCTGCAACAACGACCATCGACAAAAATATCTTAAGAGATCTGGACCAATTGATTTTATTCACATACGGAGAGTCGTTACCGCCTCCTGAATGGGACGCTAGGGGTAACAGCTTGGATGAACAGTCGCTGGCTTGTTTCAGGAAAACAGGAAATAGATGTGAGTTGGTTCCTTGTAAAGGCAGCAATGCTTGGTGTATATACAAGATGTGGAGAGGGGGAAAGGGACGGCAATTCTGGGACGATGAAAAGAAGATTTTGCAAGTGGGAAAGAATGAGATGAGAATACAGGACCTAGACTTTTCGGATGGGTGGTAACTGTGGACGTTTAATCAGCATTGTGGCAGAACTTTGGTCTATTTGTGTATATCGCGGTTATGGATTGAGAGCTTGGGAATGGCTGCAGAATGGCTACAGAATGGCTAGTTGGATTTATCGCTATGAGCCCCTCCTACGCTGCCGCAAACATCCAGTACCCAATGCCAGCTCTGTATAATTTGTACTGGGTCAAGCAATGCCGTCATGTGTATTCACAGTTCCGCCTTTTTATGGGTATATGTGGCTCCTGCATCATACGAGAATCGATGACATTCTGCCTCCGTACACCTCATACAATACCCACCTTTCCTGACGACAGGTGTAGTACATTGTCCGTCCGGCCCGGGGTTTGCTCTGGCGCTGGGGCACGCCTGTGAGTGGCAATCGCAAGGCCTGGTGGCTTTTGGTTTGAAAAGCTTGGTTATCACATTCATGGCGGCTTTTTTGAGTTGATCTGGCTCTTCAAAATTTAGATTTGAGCATGACTAATTGAACAATCAATGGTGCGGAAGCTGGTCGGCAAGGAACGTACGACGGTCCACCGCGGTCGTTACGAGAGAGAATATATAGAAGCAGTCGATAAAGGAGATGACCCGTACTGACTCTCGGTTTCAACATTTGATGGGGCCCATAATCCCATCATCAAGTATAGCTTGAATCTTGCTCCTTTGTCAATCCCTCCCAAGCGGTCCGGAACGCCTGCCGCGGGACGGTGTGGAGATTTCACCAATCCCGCCAATACTGAATGAAGCTCTAAGGGGTGGCTACGAGATACGAACGTTCAATCTTGAGATAGCACCTTGTTCAAGAACCGAACGAGATCATCCAGTCCCTCGGGTGACTTGAACCAGTGCCCTCCATCAGGATATTCCCTCCACTCGACCGTAGCTCCATACCCCTCAAGCTGCTGTCTCAACTGTTTCCCCCCCTCAAACAAAACAGTCGGATCGTCCACGCAGTGCTCTAGGAGAATGGGCGTGTTCCGAAGTAGTTCGTCACTCGGCGTCCCGCCCAAGCCGAGGATCTGCCGCGTGTCATTCAAACTGTGGCCCGGATATGGCATTCGGGAAGCAACGCCAACAAAGGCGCCGAGCCTCTTCGGGCCAGAATGAACCTCGGGAATCTCCAGATTCAGCAGCGTATGAACGCTCGTTGCGCCGCCCTGGCTGATGCCCATGAGCACAATCCTGTCATACCTCCCGCCGAGCTTTGCCGCCTCGTCCTCGATCAATTTCTTGATCCGGCCCACGCTGTCCCGCAGTCCGGACGCCTGCAATTCCTCGTGATCTTTGAAATTTAGGTGATCCCACACATCGAACCACTGACTCATGCTGGACTGAGCCCCGGGTCTGGCGCACGGCTTCTGGCCGGCGTCGGGAAAGACCCAGCGGAAGGTCGGGAAAGCCTCGATGGCTGTCTGTCGCTTTGAGTTGCACCAGGTCATGTACCTGATGCTCCTCGCGAAATTTTCGGCCCTGTCGCCGCGACCATGCAGGAAGATGGCGGTATGTGTGTGCGGGTGACCAGACTGTGGGTCCACGACCTCGAGAGGCGCGGGCTGCCTGAAGAGCGCCTCGGGTTGCCAGTCCATGGCCATTGTTGTTCCTTGTAGCTACTTGAGTAGCTGAGATGACTCAGGCTGTGCAAGGGGTGACTTCAACAGAGACGTCGATTGCGGTGAAGCTGACGGTGAAAGTTGAATAACCGGTATTGAACATGCTCGACCGTTGGTTAGGCAGCCGTTTCTCAATTGGACAAGGTTCTTGTTGAGGCGCAAATGCGGAGCTACTGCTTCTAACCACCGAGTGGCACAGCCATCGAACCCTAAATGCAATTTGGGCCCCACCTCAAAAAGACAGCCAATAAGACAACCCGCGTGACAAAAGACGTAAAGAACAGAGAATGGTCACGAACGAAATTCGTCTCAGCCTCCGGCACAACCACCCTGATTGATTTTAAACTGTTTGCACGACTTTCAGTCCTTCCTTCTTTGCCTTTTCTCTTAACTTCATGTATTCACGATTCATCTCGGTACATTTGGGCGCTGCTGACATGACTCGGCTTCCTCCAACATGTATTGCTTCAAGTTCTAGCACAGTACGCACACCCTCGGATAGAGCCTCTGTAGAATGTTTAGCTAAGTTGCGTTTGCCTCGAGGCTAATTCATACAAACCCTTGTGACTCCTTCAATGCCTGCTAACGATAAAGAGAAAGCCACGACTGCCAGACAATAAACTTGTTCCAGTCTAATGCCGTCCATTGAATCAAGTAACAAGTAAATAATGAAAGCTGCTTCAGACTTGAACGCTCATCATGACAAGGGCTTGCCGCATTTTATACTTGGATCGTCTGTAACCCTGACAATATAAATCGATACTCAACATCGCAATACCAATAGCCTACCGACAACTGTTAATAATCATAACATCAATTCAGCAATCTTCTTGTGCACAAACTCTAGCACGCCACTATGGGGACTTGCATTTCAAAGAGACTTGAAACTAATATGTCTCCTTCTCTTCCTCCCGAAATCTGGATGCAGATTTTGTCGAACTTTTGTGTTCACTGTCAACAGCCGAAGCATTCAGACAACATTCCTGATTTCAGGCTCCCCGATGCTCGAGAGGGTCAAGCCGCATTGAAAGCACTTTGTCTAGTTTCGCATGAGACCCGCTCTCTGAGCCAGCCTATTCTGTTTCACTATTTCTACAACGTTCCAAAGTACAGAGGTTCTAGAGCTCCCACAAAAAGTCTATCTTCTAAGCTTCTCCGCGCACTCGTTTCGAACCCTTCGTTGGGAAACCATATCAGTATGATGGCTGTCTTTGACACCGGGATCCAGGGGTACGACGGCATCAGCCGGATCGATCTGCAATCTTGGGTTCAACTTAGCACCGGCTTTAACATTGAAGTGCCGTTCGAAGTTCTTCACGCCCTCCAAGGACGCTCCAAGGACTCTGAACTGTTTTTCAATGCGCTTGGTCCTAACGCACAGCTCCAAGAAGGAGATCGAGCGGGTTGGGACACAGCCCATTTGTTCTACAATTGGATCCACATGCTGACCATCAGCATGGCCCCGAGACTCAGTCACCTACAAATGACTCTACCATTCGGCTCTTTCGAGGATTTGCAGTCTACCCCTCCCAAGTTTCCACAGATTCGTGTTTTAACTTATGGAGAGTTTGACAAAATACAGGTTGTTGCACGATCTCTAGTCCATTTTCCGAACGTATCCAGCCTTCACATCCACGGTCACAGCAATGTTCAGCGAGAGGAGTTTGAGGATATTTCCCTAATTCCCACGCTGAAAATTTCTAAGCTGTCCATCTCTTGCGCGCCAGGCGCGCTCTCGTTCTTGCTCCAGTTCTGTCCTCAGTTGGAAGACCTAGAGTACCACGCGGAGCCTTCACGACATGTCCCCGAGTCTCCTACAAGTCTGAGTTGGCCGACACAGGTCAGAGACAACCTGAGGCGCCTTGCCTGGAGCAACAAAGACTCCAGAGAGAATTTGTTGAACGACAATATAGAAAACGCCTTCATTCCTCCTCTGCATGACTTTAACTCCCTGGAAATTTTGGAAATCGACTTACCGTCGCTTATTTTGCACTCCAAGTTGCCCGCAGCATCCCTGCCAACATCCCTACGCATCCTCCATCTGGCTTTCGCGCGGGACATTTTTGCGCCTGTTCAGATCTCGCGCAAGCTGCGGGAACTGACGCGCGCCAAGTCGGCCCAGTTTCCTAAGCTCTCTATCATCAAGATCGACCAGCCCGTGCGCCCTATGTCAAAGAAAAGGACGTTGGCAGATGCCATGAGAAATGCTGGGGTGGTCAGGCTGATGGATGATGCTGATATTCATTTGAGGTTTGGGTGGGAAAAGCGCTACACTCGGAAGAGGGAAAGATGCATTCTTCCACCGCCGCCGGGCGCTGCGGTTAAAATGATGTCGGTGTACAGGGACATTGACTATCAACGTGAAGTCTTTTCTCTAGAAGATGTAGATATTCCGTAGAGGCAAGTTTCACATACGAGTTGAAAAGAGCGTGTGCTAAGCTTGTATGCTAACCGTTGAAGCTTAATTATATAATTAGTCAAATTGCAGGCCGGTTTAACCATATCTAATGGATCTCAATTTTTGTTGATAAGAAGCACTTGGCTACGAAGCTTACAAAGTACAGTCAACGTGAAGATAATTCAGCTTCAAGAGTCATGTGTTAAGTGAAAGAAAAAGGGGGATATCTGATTAAATATAGCACCTTTAGGAAATAAAACTTAAATGAGACTTTTAGACTTTACAACAGAGTTAAACATTTTAAACCGAAAGAAGTGCTAACCACAAGAGGCTGCAAAATTCGGATAACAGCCTTTCATAAATTACAACAATGTACTGCCAGACAAACGTTATATCTTAAATATAACTAACCCCTTTCTTTACCCCTTAACCTCATCTATATATAGTAACTCAGTCTTTAGTCTTCAATAGTATCAGATAAAAGATAGTTTCACAACAAAGCTTTTGCCTGGCTCCTCTTTGATGTTTCTCCACATATTTCACAATGCCACAGAAGTTCAATCACTTGACAATCTATATTTCTCTCAAGATGCTGCATACAAACAAAGAGCGTAACTGAAGACATAGAGGATAGCTTTGATTATATAACACCATGGCCTTCACTCAATGGTTTTCAAGAGATCGCTGCTGTTCATGAAAAAATTCTTAATATGCCTGATATTTAAACATTGATCTCCCAACATTCTTCCGAGACCAACATCAACCCACGAGAATTCCGAACCACATGCTTGCTCCTTAAAATACAAAATTGTAATATGTCAGCCTCCACACTCCCGGTAGAGATCTGGCTGCAGATCCTCGAGCAATTTTGTGTCCACTGCCATTCCACCGAGATCCTCGACTTCAGGCTTCCCGAATACAAACAAGGGCAATCCGTTTTACTAGCTTTGTCACTTACTGCCCGAGCTATGAGGGACCTTTCCCAGCCGTTGCTTTATCACTGCTTCTACACAGACCCAGACCAGCCCAAGACTTCGAGGTTCCTTCGCACAATGATTTCACGGCCCCAAATGGCAAGTCACGTCAGAATACTGTCTCTTCATGAGAGCAATCGTTGTGACCAAGACTCCATTACTCGCCGGGATTTCGAGGCTTGGACTCTTGTGAGTGCCAGATTTAGTATCTTTGTGCCGTTCGAGGTACGTGATGCACTATTGGGCAACACCTGGAGCCCTCTGCAGTTCGATGAAGAAGGCCAAGATGCGCACCTTAGAGCCAGGTCTTCGAATTGGACCAGAGAACAGCATGTGGTTAAGCTACACTCATGGCAAAATCTTCTCATTCTATACCTCTGCTCTGGTAGCATCACTTGTCTGGAAACATCTGCATTATTTGGTCTCAGCGGGATAAGGCCTCCGACTTTGAATTCGTCGGCGACTAGTTCTGACCGACTTGTGCAATCTGCACCTGATTTTCAAAACCTCCGGGTTTTCTCCTGCAAGCATGCCTATGCCTGTGAACACTTTCCTTGGTTTTTCACCCATGCGCCACTCCTGCGTCGTGTGGCTGTAGGCAGGGTTCATCCCCACCCCATCGAAACGTCGCTGTTCGGACTTAGCCCCACTGCCTCTCCCATTCCTTCAGTGTCGGTCACAAACACTCGCAAACTGTCGGCCGCTATCCATCCAGCCTGGGTCGAATACATGCTCCATTTCAACCCTGAAGTACGAGATCTGGAGCTTCACTTACTGCGTGGTTATTGGATCTCTAACGGTCCCCAACCCGACCCGTGGCCTGCGTCTGTCAAAGCACAGCTAAGAAGACTGTGCTTTAGTAACAGCCGATCATGGGAGCGGAGGGCCAATGATGATACGATCATGGTTCCCCCACTCACAGAATTTGAAAGTTTAGAGATCCTGGAGATTGATCGAACATCACTATATATAGCTTTAGATAAACGGCTAGCCCCCAACACGTCCCAGAAGGAGGCCGCCAGGCTGTTGCCAACTATCTTACCCGCCTCGCTTCGCATATTACATACGTCTTTCGGATTAGATCAATTCGACTCTGGACCGAGATCATCCTCGTGGACAACAATCATGGTCGAGCTCGAAGCACTAGCATTAGCCAAGATAACGTTTCTTCGCAAACTGTCGGTGGTTCAGATTGACCATCCTCGAAGATCGACACCCGGAGCGTGGACAATGGGAGAGACTTTCGAGATGATGGGAGTGGTGCGGGATATGCGAAACGCGGGAATCGAGTTGAGATTCGGATTGGACCCGCGTAGTGAGTTTGGGAGCCAACCTCACCGAGGTATGGTTCCACCGCTCCCCGGCTCCTGGGAGCCACCTGGCAACCTATTCACTAGCTTCGATGATCCAGTTGAGGTTGAGGTCTTCGATCTAGAAGACTAGAATCCTTTAATGTCATAGACTATATCAAGGAGTCAGCGGTCACCCTAGAAGGTGTGAGACCAAACGCAGAGGGCCGGTTGGATTGGCATGTTGAAGTACTCGAAGTGGGAGGATTTAAATTTCTATTGTCTGTGACATTCTGAAACATATCTGTTGTTTGATTGTATTCCTTGGTGTCATCAAGTAGGTATCAATGTATTCTCAATGACCTGCCCGCGAAGGCCATGGAATTCCTTTCGGCTGTCGGAAACGCTGATCAGAGCCTTGGTTCCGACGAAATAAGCATAAACAGGGTTCCATATATTATCCCCACAAGTAAGCTCGTATTGAACCCACCCTTCACTCCTCGTTCATGCCTATGCATTCGCCTCCTTCCGGAAATAGAAAAGCTGGACGCAAAAACCCACAATAACAATCATCCTGCGGAGGCCAAGGAGGGACAAGATAAACAAACTAATGCAATCATGAGTCGATGCCGAGCTATTACAACCCACACTGGCCTTGTTATGCGGACTCAAAATAAGCCACGGACTCGGGCTACCGCAAAAGAATACGTCCCCCATCCCATTCTCCTTTGACCTGTCCACACACAATACGCGGGTCCTCTCATCGCTCATTGCTGGCCTGAACAATAGTATCATTTCCAAGCCTAATCCTAATTGTAATCACGATGTTGTCGCCGAAAGCCGCCGCCATCTTCAACCTCGCCCTGCTCGCGTCCGCCGCCCCCAGCAAGCGCCAATCCACCGGTTCCGGGGCCTGCACAGACCTGCACATCTTCCTCGCCCGTGGATGGAACGAGGATTACCCCGGCCGCCAACAGTCTCTTGTAGACGCCGCCTGCAACGGGGTCTCCAGCTGTGACTACGAGGACATTACCTTTGACGCAACCAACGCGAATGGCTACCCTGCCTCGGTCGAGCAGGGTCGCTCTTCTGGCGTCTCCCAGATCAAGGCATATAACCAGCGATGCCCCGACGCCAAGATTGCTCTGAGCGGTTACAGCGAAGGCGCAGCCATTGTCGGGAACGTGCTGGCCGACTCGGGGCTGACGCCCAGTTCTGTGCCTGGAGACAAGGGTAGGGAACCCTGATTCTTCCCTCTGCAACATCACTGTCCCCATCAGACAAGCAGCCTTGTATACACATCAATTACTGACCCTCCTTCGCGACAGTCTGCGCCGCACTGCTCTTCGGAGACCCGAACCATGTTGCGGATCAGAGCTACAACGTCCAGGCCGGCTCGGCATACAGCGCGCAGGGCCCGCGCTCCGGCGCGTCGCTCGAGCACCTCAACGCCTTCTCCTCGGTGCTGCGGTCCTACTGTAACGGCGAGGACTCACTCTGCGCCTACGGCGACGGCACGAGGCCCATGGGCGAGAACGCGCACACCAACTACTTCCAGCTGTACTCAGGTGATGCGGGCAGCTTCATCCAGGAGAAGTGTGCCGCTGGCTCATCCGGTGGTGGCGGCGGCTCGACCACGCCGCCGCCGTCTGGCTCGGTCTGTGTTGCTGGAAAGGTGAAGGAGGGCCTGTCTGAGAACTACTCTGGCCTGTGCTCGTTTGCCTGCTCGAATGGGTACTGCCCTGATGGCGTGTGCGAGTGTACCGAGTTCGGCACGCAGGCTGGCTCGGGTGACGGAAGTGGACAGGATGGCTGCCCGGCTCCCGGGCTGGATGACAGCTACAAAGGGCTTTGCAGCTTTAGTTGCAGCCATGGATACTGCCCTTCTGGTGCTTGCCAGCACTGCTAGATTAGCATTGGGCTGAGATCTCTGTAAATAAACCATGAATTCTATACGCACCTTACTGTCCACGAGACTTATCACCCAGCAGGTGATGTCAACCACTCGGAGTCATGTGTCTGGTAATGACAGCATATATCTTTTTAGTCGATATGGACCAGCACATGAGTTCAAAGGATTAGGACTCGCAATCATACAAGTGTGGTTGGGAGAGGCCAAAGAACACTTTCCGAAGTATGTCACCTTTGTTCAAAACGACCGACCGCCGTTCTTGGTCGTGGGACATACTTGGGTACTCTAGCACTATTAAAGAAAGCCCTGCACCACAAATGTCCTGAGAGCAAAGTCAGGCCTTATATTTGCTACAAGTGTTGCTACAACTTATACCAACGTAGATCATCATCTCTCGGATGATTACGGCAAATCATGAAGCCAGATTGCAAGCGAATAGTTGTAAGAGTATCTCTTCAGCCTGTCGTTCCCTTACTTGTTCGCTGGGCATGGGAACGGAAAGTGCATCATGAGAAATGATTCACCCAAGTCGAAGAGCAACAGACACACAGTGGATGAACACAGTTTGTTAGGCGCAGTCAGGAAACGTTACCTTGCTTTCGGGGCCTTCATTACCCCGGCATGGCTCAGAGTCGGGCGGATAGGTTACTATAGCTCTGCTTCAAACTCTGATGTATTACAAATTTTCAACATTCTCGCGAAGCCGAGGCCGCGGGAGACAGGATATGTACACTCTATTATTTTGTTTTCAGCAATTGACTGCGAACACGGCCCGGAGAAGCTCGAATATCTCAACTTGTGGGCCAAAACAATGTTTCTGGGCCTTGACATAACCGGTCCCAGTCTAGTCTCTTTAGCCTTCCACCATGACATTACTTAAGTGGTGCCGAACTCTTCTTTTTCGCCGGCCAAGCAACTTGACCTTTAGCTGCCTTCCGTTTATCAATACAGCAGGCCTGGTGATATAAGTTTCTGTCTTGAATACTTTCGTAAGTCTTATCTGGTCGTTCTCTGACACAACCTTCAAGTTGAAACGAGCAATACTTGCGATCAATTATGGGGACCGCACTAATCTGTGTGCTGAGCTTTGTAATGGGTTTTGCAATCTTATTTACCACTGCTCTTGTGTTGCACGAGATCTTTGAAGTGCTCAGGATAAATCGAGTTGATTCATCTTTCGGAAGCGAAGATGACTCGGCTGCCTCAAGCACCGCCTCTTCATCGAGTTCCGCCTCATCAAATTCGTCCTCAGCGGGCTCGTTCTCGTCAGACTCATCCTCGTCAGGCTCGTCCTCAAGATCCTCTGATTCCGACCAAGAAACGCCACCCCCAGCATACCATGACCTCTTCCCCGACGGCTACCCGCACGCAGAGTGAGACTATGTCCACCGCCCCCGGGAACAATGAACCCCCTCGTCGCCGCTATGTGGGAGAATCAGACATGGAGACTCCTCAAAAACTTGCCGGACAGCGTGCTAGCTCAGATCATTGCATTTTGGATCAACACGGGGTTCGAGTGCCTCCGGCGCGCCGCACGCCGCTTCCCGCCGCTCTGCGACCGTGAGATCCTCAGCCGCCCACGCACACACCTGCCGCAAGAGGGAACCACCGGCGGCCCAGTGGGCCCGTTCGCGTGGCCGCGCTTCGAGTGCATGAGCCGTCTAGGTCAGGCGGGCGAGCTGCTGCGGATGGCGGAGGGCCGGGACTCTCAACCGTGCGACCACCAGGCTCTCCTCCAACTGCTCGGGCGGGGCCGGTATTGTGATGACTGTGGGACTGCCGAACAAGCACGTGGATAGAGCCAGAGGGTTGCGGAACTTCGTCGGTTCCTCTATTGCATCGCATGTTGTGCTGACCGCCCGGTGTGCCTATTTTCCTATTCGCAGCGGCGAGATCGGGTCGAAGGGTATCGGATGTGCATTGTGCACGAGGGCTACATCCGCATCTGCAGCCACGATAGTGGCATCGTTCGGCTGTCTCAAATTGCGCAGATGAGACCGAGTCTTGGGTTCGGTACTGATCTCCAATGCAAAGACAACATCCATCGTATGGTGTGCGCTGAGCTATCCAATCCCAGTCACAATGCACGCCAACACACCGAGCACGCCTCGCCGACCGCTTCCATCGACGACACCGGGACGCTTGTGTTGCAATGGTGAGCACATCTACTAATAGATCGAGCGACTTGCCACTGATGTCCCAAAGAATCCGCTCTCGACTGGTCAATGTTCGGGAGAACGCTGGCCATTTCATCTACCCAGAGCCTGCGGATGAAATGGAGCTACCCGAGATGCGTTGCTTCGACCCCAACGATTGTAGCTGCTTGAATTTCGAAGGCTCTGAGTATTTCAAGTGGAACTTTGCTGTTCCCGACAAGGGAGACAGGACTGGCCGATCGCAGCTTGACCAGCCGCTGGGTGATCTAGATGGCGCCGGCTCTGGACATCTTGTGGCACAGCATCTACTGTGCCTGTTCAATCCACATGTTTCCCACTCGAGCGACGCCTGCAAGCTAAAGCCACAGTGGCATACTTCTCGACCTGACAACCCTGAAGTCAAACATGGCCCAGGTCAGTCTTGGCTCCAATTTCGACCGTATTGCAGTGGCAGGTCGTGCCTGGTGTTGACTTACCGCAGAAGCCTGCCTGTTGGAGCAGGCAACGACATTGATCCGCATGGGTACCAAGCTCTTGACCCAACAGTCGCATGATCTTACCGCTGATGCCGAAGGCTTCGAGGTCTTTTGGTGCCATCAGAGAAAATGTCGGAACTATCACAGACGCGTCCCCGGTCTCTCGAGAATACTTCGAGAGTTCGATCATTACAATTTCGCACTCTACCTATATAGTGGAGCAACAAGATTCGCCGCCATGTCGTGCCCTGACAGCTCTCAACCGCCACGAATGTTTGTGCCCCGGTTATGGACACCCCCAGATGATCCAGATAAACCGCTATTCCCGTACATCACTGGCTTCACCACACAAATCCACCGCCATGTGGCCCCGCCACCATTTGGTGCACCCGATTACGGCCCTGGGCCCAGACCACAGCTATCATTGCAGTACATGACAAGCGTGCCACAGAGCGAGCTGGTCGTCGACAACCCTCCCCTGAAGACGGCGCCATCCCAAGCAGAGACCACACAGCTGATTATCAACACGCCCATATCTGTGGGAAGCGCCGACGGCGCCCAGGTCGTCACATGCTCTATCACCCCCGATGCAGAAACCGCCGGTCAGTCCTTTCAGGCGGTCGCCAAGATATACGACCCTCTGTATTATAGATTTTCGGAGTGGATCGCCCACGAACCCCGTGATGTTGTCATCGAGGCCGACAAGGACTACAGCCGCGAGGCCGCCGCGTACGAGTACCTCCAGAAGACGGGACAGACCGGCTCCTTTGCCCCCGCATACTATGGCTCATGGACCTTCGCTCTTCCCATTACCAGCAGGGGCAAGACCCAGACGAGGCCCATCCGCCTGGTCTTGATTGAGTACCTGGGCGGGACCAACATCCGCGGTAGCCTATTCCAGAACGGCCCTGAGCGCGCGGGTAAGGACGCCTTCTACTACGCGGAGGAGTACAGGCTCGAGGTCCTGGCGCTGGCTATGGACGGCTATGTCAGACAGCTGCACTCCGGGATTGACCAGCTGGACTTTGCGGGGCGGAACGTCATGCTCGCGCCATGGAGCCTCTCGGCCGAGCCCGGCCAAGATAGTCCCGCCGTCGCGGGCCTGTCCCTGCCGCGCATTGTGCTTGTCGACTACAACGCGGCCATAGTGTACACCCAGAGCAAGAGGGGGAGACTGCCTCATATGGACTGGCCGCGCCCGTGCAACCCGATGTGGTACTTCTGGGACGAACCTATGGACGACTTTGGGGGCTGGGTCCCTCATGAATGGCATCATAATCCAAAGTTCATGCAGGAGTGGCTTCAGAAGAGGTTTGGCACAGAGGAGAAGCGAAAGCTGTACGCTTCTGTTGAAGAAGAGCTGATCATCAGAGATTACGACCTGCCTGAGTGGCAGTGATGATAGTCGGTGCTTGAGATAATGATACAAGCGAGCAAGCTGCACAAACACTTGTGTAACCAGAGCACAATAGAGACTGAGATATACATGCAAAGTTTACTTCGTACCAGTGAAGTCTAAACACGGCCTACATCGTTTAATGGTATCTGTAAATAATAGCATGGGCAGCAAGCGGTCGTCAAGCACACACCTGCTGCTTGGTTTCTCATATACCAATCTGTCACACGACTCCGATGAGACCTTTGACGCAGGCATTCGCTCTTGCGTAACCTCACGGAATGGGCAGGTCAGAATTAAAAACGGAGACGGATGACCCCTACGATTTGCCGTTTACCGTTCGAAGGGGAAGGCACATGCAGCAAGGAGCTGCTCAGCTTTGGAGGCAGCGAGCACGGCACATTTATGCCTGCTTGCCCGTTTCTGGTGCAGGTTGACAGTACTTGTTTCCCTGGGTTCCTCCACTGAGCTCCTTCCCTTGATCCTCTGATCGGTGTCATCGCCGTCGTCTCAAATGCCTGTCGTGATGGCTTAAAGTTTGGGTATGCATGCGCACTGGTGGCCTGTTTAGACATTGTCAAATAGGACCTACCCCATTTTGAGTCTCAACACCTAAACACCGGACTTTCATGGCACTTCCAGATTGTCATTACCACATCCCACGGCTTCAGGGACACCGATCGCTGTGCCGGCAGCCTGCGCTGAATGTGCAATATATAGGCTTGGCGCACAACACCCTCCGGATGACCGATTGTGTCATGCACCCGAATGGAGACCCCGAGCCCGGTACAGCGTCAGGTTCGGGCCGGTCTGACCGTCTCGATCGCAGAGACTAGACACGTGGGGGTCGTCGGCATCGCTTGCGGGGGACTGCAAATCAGTCGAGGAGGGTTTTGGGGATTTGTATGGATTTATCTCTTCCTAGTGTCCTCGTCATGATGCACGGCTAGCACGCCATCCACAAACACTGTTGGTATCAGCGTCGAGCGACAAGGGTCCTCGCTCCTCACATAACGCAATAGCCCACTGCGACAGCGTGATGGCACTTTTCGCCGGAAATATTCGCTGCACACTCGAGCAAGCATCCAATGCGATCCCACGCAGATCTGACCCGCCACACTGGTCCCTCATCATTGCCATGCATGTGGACGTCGTCCGGGTGTCGTCCCGGATGGAGACCACAGTGAAAATTGCCGGGAAGCATGAAGATCAGAAGTCAAAAGTCGCATCGCTTAAAAGTGCTGCCGCGCCTCGATATAAAGGCTGGACTTGGCTGCTCACTTGGCAGATCCCATCTTTCTGATGCTCAGCCTTTCGCCAGCGCGTTGGACCCTTGACGCCCGTGCCGAATAACCCAACTCCAAAGCCCGCGAGTAACGCAGTCAAGCTTTACCACAAGCTTCGCCGAGCCCGCTTACGATCCGATCCGACCCGTCCGCTCTCAGATCATTAGCCCGGCATAGTCGACAGGCAAGATGGTTTCCGTCGCGGGCCTGCAGCTTATCCCGCAGGGGTCCGCTTACGGCCTACTCATCGGGCTGGGCGTCCTATTCTGCGTCGTGATCCTGGCCGCTGTCCGCATCCAAAAGGCATATCTGGCCGAAGATTCGGGCACTTCCGAGATGTTCCTCGTGGCGAATCGGAGCGTGGGCACCGGGCTGACGGCGTCTGCGGTGTTCTCCAGCTGGATGTGGATCAACGAGACGGTTATGTGTGCAGCTATGTGTTATCGTTATGGGCTGGCTGTTCCTCTGGTGAGTCCTACCCGGTGTAGCTTGGATGCGACGTTCGAATCTAATTTTCTGCAGTGGTGGGGATCTGGTCTCTGCTTTCAGATTGCTTTGATGGCTGCCCTAGGCGTGATGGCAAAGATTCGCGTACCGTATGCTCATACGTCGCTTGAAATCATCAAGCAGCGATATGGAAAGATAGGGCACAGTGTCTTCATCGTGATGAATCTTATCAACAATGTGTTTGGCTGCGCCAGTATGATCTTGACTGGCTCACAGCTTGTGTATGGCGTCTCAGGCATGCACTTTGTAGCGGCTTGCATAATCATACCCTTTGGAGGTAAAGAGGCCATTTATTCTTGACAATCTCCAACCAGAATCGAAGCTGACAGTCGGCAGTTGTGCTGTATACCGCTGTAGGTGGTCTGAAGGCCACATTCCTCACTGACTTCCTTCACACCTTTGTCGCACTTATCCTCATCATCTACTTCACCCTGTCGATCCTTCATCATGAGGCCATTGGCGGCTTGTATGGCCTGTACGATAAGGTCATGGCCACAGCTTCCGAAAACTTGATCCCAGGCAATTACAAGGGATCGCTCCTCACCATGAAGTCTCGGGACGCCATCATCTGGGGGCTGGATCTGAAGTTCGGAAACCTGGCTCTAGTTGTCATGGACACGGCTTTCTGGCAAAAGTCATTCGCAACAGAGGTCAACGCAACGGTGCCAGGGTACAATCTCGCCGCGCTGGCCATCTTCGGGATTCCATGGGGTCTTGGAACCGTCATCGGTCTAGCAGCACGAGCAATCCACAACACACCCGTCTTCCCGACCTTCCCAGGCGAGTTCACCGCTGCAGAGGTGAGCGCAGGATTTGTGATGCCGTACACCATCCAGGCGTTGATTGGGACCCAAGGAGTCATTGCATTCTTGGTGCTCGTCTTCATGGCACTCACAAGCACAGTGTCGTCGTCCATGATCGCCGTCAGCAGTATCCTCTCCTTTGACGTCTACAAGACATACCTCAACCCCAGGGCCACCGACAAGAAGCTGGTCAAGGTGAGCCATCTCACGGTCATCATACACGGCGTCTTCATGTCGGGCATCGCGATCGCCCTGAACTACGGCGGCGCAAATATGACCTGGCTCGGCTACCTCAGGCCTGTCGTGAGCTGTCCCGGTATCATCCCCCTAGCCCTCACATTAGGCTGGTCGCGGCAGACGAGGCTTGCAGCGATCGTCTCCCCAGTCCTGGGCTTCTTCACCGGGCTCGGCATCTGGCTCGGCACAGCTTACCACTTGTACGGCGCAGTGACCATCGCGACGACACATAATCCCCTTCCAGCGCTGTATGGGGCGATAGGGTCGTTCTTCTCTCCCGCGCTGTACTCGGTGCTGATATCATTGTACAAGCCGTCTAAGTTCGACTGGAGGGAGTTCCTGCGAATCGAGCTCGCCGATGAGGCGATTCTGCACCGGGAGGATGGGAAGCTGGCCTCGCCATCGTCGGGAAGTGATGATGAGAAGAGGGTCAGTGACGGCGCTTTGAAGGCTGATGGGTCTGATCATGCTGCTACTCTTACAAAGCCAGGGGCAGCGGACCAGCTTGCTCTCGACAAAGAGCAGAGAGTCAACAAAGGGTCGCCAGAGATCTCAAACTCTCCCTCGCTCATCAGCCTCGACGACGTTCAACACCCCTTCGACGAAGCGACGCTCCAAAAATTGCGGCAATGGGAGCGGATCGCGTGGGTTTTCTTCGTCGTCATCGTTCTGGTGACGTTTGTCGCTTGGCCGATGCCACTGTACCGAGACTACATATTCACAAAGTCGTTCTTCAGTGGTTGGACAACAGTCGCTATAATTTGGCAGTTCTTTGCCTTTGGGGCAGTCGTCGTGTTCCCTGTTTGGGATGGGCGGCATGCAATTGCAAAAGGTGCGCGGGGCGTTTGGAGGTCAATCGGCTCGTCGTCTGCCAAAGCTCGGGCTTGAAAGCAAACGTCGTGAATCCATTTCATGGCCAGTACTGGCAAATTGGTACAGTATAGATTTATCAAAAATGCATTCGCAGCAGTGGCGAGAAAAATGCATCTCTTGCAAGTCGTTATAATATGTTCGTCCGTTGAAATGACGGCTGCCCGGGTTTAATGGTAGTGCCTCACGCTGCTTTTGTGGCAATGGCGACTAATGAACATCGATCCAAAAAGGGAGCGGCATGCTGTAATACCAGAAGACCGTAGTATGAGAGCGTCAAGCTTGGTCACATTGTTCTCATTCTGTCAAAATAATTATGGTCATGATGTATTTCACATGCGTGGTTGGCTTGTTAAGCCTTTGGGCCCAGCTCCCAATCACCAATTGTCCATCTAAGCCTCCGAGCGCACCTTGTGCTAAAGCTCTCCGTCATCCTAAGGACACCATGAAATACAGTCTCTCTGCAATATTAACATATTCACACCAAGTCAAAGCAACTTCGGCTGGATACCATGCCTCTCTGACACCAATCTGCTACTCGTCAAGCCTCGGCAGCTCGTCAGGGCTCGACATGAGACTCGGGAAGTAGAAGCTGGAAGCCCAGGTGATGCAGCTCTTGACGACCAAAATTCATTCCTCGCAAGCTTTGAGGAGCCACTGTTCCAGCAGGAAGTCCGTGGATGAGTGTGCCAAGGCCCTTGAGGCCCGCCATGAAGGTCTCCACTTCAACGAACTCTGAGCGCCGCTGCCGACTACTATTTTGACTGTCGTAAAATGATCCGTTCATCACGGGACTTGAGTCGCAAGCCACCGAATTTCCAAGCAGCCTCTGGTGCATGTAGCGCCTGTGGACGGGCTGCAGGACGTTGATGGATCGCTTGTTGTAGGTGAACCCGAATGTGTCCAGTTTGATACAGTCGGCGAGGAAATCGAGGAATCCTTCGATGCACTCGGGCTTGGGTGCTGGGATGGCGGGCTTCCTTGGCCAGATCAGGTTGTGCAAGCCAGCAAAACCGTACCAAAGCTCCTCGCTATTCATTGTCATATTCCGGGGGATCTCGTGCCAGTCGCCTGCGAAGAGGACAGCTCCCTGGGCGTATCGACGGAATCGCTCAAAGAAGCCTGCGCCCAATGGGCACTGCAAGACGGAGAGATTTAGGATGTCATGCTTCGCATTGAACCGCATCAATCCATCGGTGCATGCGATGGTGGTGGGAAACACCCTTCTTATCTCGGACGCAGCCTCTGAGTTGACAGATTGGATGGCTCGCATGGTGTCAAGACGAATCCTGCGCTCCGCGTCTGGTTGGTCTCGGGGGACAGGCTCCAGCCGATACTCCACGCGGAATGCTAAGGGTGCAGGACGAGGCGGCTGCCGACGCAATGGCTCCTCCCGCCCGTAGATGAGGGCTGTGTAGGTCCCGTAGGTCGGCATAGCGTGTCTCCAGACCTTCGCTCTCATCTCGTCAGGCAGCTCCTTGAACTTCAGGAAGCCCTCCCTGGCGATCTTGTCGGGTGTTAACGCTCGGCTGTAGAACGGAGTCGAGTCGACCTGGAAAGAGTCGCTGATAGGCGTGAGGGCGCCCTTCTCGGCACGCTCAACAGTTTTGGGTTGCGTCTTGCCGGCGGCGTCATGCTTTTGTCTAGACATTTTGGCCTTGCTAGTGCAATATTATTAGTTGAAAGCCAAATAGCGTGCAATTATTGCAGTTTGATCAACGTACGTGGAGTGTCAGACCAACTAAGTTCAGACCTCGATGAAGTGCTCAAGGGATGACTGTTTTCGTGGGGGTGATATTTGCCAAACTGCGCATGAGAGAGATGGCGAGATACAACGAAGCGATACTGTGATAATTGAGAGTGATCAATCGATTACAGTCAAGATGATTCTCAATGTTGAAAGGACCAGATAGAAAAGAATTAGAGACGAGCTTTCGAAGCCAGCTCTAGGACTTAAGTTATCAGTGCTCCGAAGTGAATTCAAGCGAGTTCAAGTGAATTAACTAGGTGTGGAAGTTATTCCAGTGTCATTCATGGCCCCAGCATGAAGCTGTGACACACGAAGCTTCATTCACAGTCTTGCTAGCAATATTGAACTTCTTGGGAGGTGAATAGGGCTTGACTGTCCTTGAGTGACTCATAGTCAAGGACTAATCTATCACGAAAAGAACGTCTTCTGAAAGAATTGACTCGAGTCTTCTCCGCTGAGCACTGAACTAATAGCAACGACTATGAATAATCACCTGTACAGTGTTCAGATATAACGTCCCGATAAGATCGCAAATGCTGCTCGCTCGGGCAGATAGTTCTTGTACAGTCATCATGAAATTGTCAAAGGGGTAGAAGAAAGCTGGCCATTGATTTATAAATGAAATGCAAACGGACGTATGGGTTGACCATGGAAATCTTGGGCCTTCGATCCTTTGACTTGCCACAGGCCGGGCCGTGTCATGCGGCCCTCCCCAGCTGTGTATTCACCGACATATACGAGGAGTTCGAGGTCTATTGTGTCAATTTCCATTCAGAGGCAATGGGCCTGCACATCGCTAAGCCCCGAGAAAATTAGTTTGGTAAACGCAGATGTCGCTTGAATGCTTTCATACGGCTCGTAGAACCAAACGAAAAGACCGGAGGACAACATTGACCAAGGCCACTGTAATGGGGTGTAAAGACATCTACAGCGAACAAAGACTTTAACAGATGCTGGTCGACTCCAACATACTGCTGACAGAATATAGGTGGGTGCTCAGGAATTTAGCCAAGAATTCAGCTTTGAAATTGGGAACATACTCTCTCCCGTCACCTGCCCAATTTTTAGAGCCTTGAAACGCCTTGGTGTATTTATCCTTTCATGCATTGGAGTTTTATCCAGAACAGCTAATGTGTGAACAATGACAAGTCTCGTGTGTGAGTCGCAATGGCTTGTTTTTTCCCGTTTGGTGAGCTCTAGTGCTAGGAGCAACACTTTCGCATTGCTTGTACGCCGAGTTTTGACTGTTGGAGCAAATGTCCAATACAGTATTGCTACAGATGACTCACCGTGTTTTTCATCAATACTTGTGAAATGGGTGATGGAGATACGCTTCTGGCACCGCTCAATGGAAACGGCTCAGCGTTTGCTGCCATATGCCGGCTACTGCACTGGCAGAGCCTGGGTCGAACACTGCCAACTTCAAGGTCCAGTGAATGACTTCATTTGGATCACCAGGCCTACTCTTGTACATTTTGAGGCTCAGAAGAAGGGCCTCCTGAAGCTTGGACCTGACAGCGATGAGGGACTTCGCCCAGCACTGGGACAGGGATAGAGCACTGGCATCAAAAAGACAAAAAGAGAGGATAGCCACTGCCAGAGTCGAACTGGCTCCTTGCTACCTTTAATACAGGTGAATAGCCGTCCAGCAGATTGTCGTCAAATCGGGGTGTGTGTAGTTCCGCCTTCAGGGTAAACGCCTGACAAGGCAGCCATGCTGACCGTTACACCAAATGGCCTCTTGAATTGCTAAACTTGATTAGACACCATCTTGTAAATCATGATACGGATTGTGGCACAGTCAACGAAAACCGCACCGGCTGTCTGCTTCGGTGTCGGGGCAAGTTGGCGACACTATCTGAAATTGGCTAGCCTCACGGTTGAGCCAAGGACTGGCCGATCGACCCGGAAACGCGCCAAGGTGATCGGGACCTGGGTGAACAAAATGACCATTTCTCATCATGAGCTTCAACTCCGGGGTTGACGATCTATCTGCTATTCTGTATTTCTAGGAACATGCCACCAAAGAGATCCGCAGCTATCGACGCGCCCCGCGGCACTTCTGAGAGCTTCATGTTACACTGCAGATCATGGGCGGAGTCCTCAGGCGTGTCCTTGAACTTCAGCTCGTCGACCCATACTAGGAAGTGGAAATGAATCAAATTCCTGCTGGCACCATCCACTGTCAGTAGCCGCTTATCATCTTCATTCACATATTCCGTCGTTGTGGAGCCTGTGCCAGTTCAGGACTGCTGACACGCTCAGCGCCATCGGCACAAGACTTCAATGGGTCTTGGTATCCCGCAAGGGCAATGAGAGTCTTCGCAAGAACGTTTTGTGAGAGCCTGTAGCGCTGCATGCGATATCACCGATGCATGATTTGTGAGCAGATCGGAGGTACAGCATCGCTTTTCGATGCCTCCACTGATCAGTGCAGGCTTCGCAATCGAAACCATGTGCGGCTAAATCAATGCTCTTGGGTCTCTTGACATGCTCCAGATATATTCTGGGAGCCGCAAAGTGAGATGCGAATATCATTGCCATGGCGCTTACCCCGTCTATTTGGATGCTCAAATTTACACTGCCATGCTCCTAGAGATGTGTTTCTTGATGCAATTCTCTGGAGACGATGGGAGAACCTGCGAAATATCAGAATGCTCTGAGCGTCATAAGATGGTGACCACTTGTACCATCACCGGATGCCTCGGCTGCTGTGAGTAGTCATTCTGCCAATAATGACACGATGGGCTGTGTCTAAGCAACTTGACCTTCGAGCACCTGAAACTAACAAGGACAGTCAATCTTACGCTGGCGGGGCAAGTGCTGGAAAATTCCGATTGAGTCCTCAATCTATGGAATGAAACCACATTTACTTCCTCTGAGACTTCGCAATCTGCAGGGTCCCGTGATGGGGAGATGTATTATGATATACGGTAAGTGCTCCCCGGAGTCTTACTGTAGGTGTTGAGGGCCGTTGTTGCTCGCTGTTCGTTCCAATTCTCAAAGATACGTTGCCTCCCCTTGGCAATTGTTTCATGCCAAATTCCGAGAAGAACCACCAACCTCGTCACCAGTTTTCTTTTCAGGAATTGTGTTGCATTTTGCCTCTGCCTTGTCTACTCTCTGGGCTGCCTCACGATCCGCCAACCGGTTGAGTGCCTTCGTCAACTCGTTGGTACCACCACGATTCGAATGGCGGCTGAAAATATCGGCATCATCGGTGATGAGAGTGGGAGTCATTGTGAATTTAAGATGAGGTATGTCGAATTTGTGTTGAAGTATGGTAAGGGGGGTTGCCGTAGCTGAGGTATGTTCAAGGCTTGTGTTGATGTGTCGTCGAGTTGCCGGTGTGCTCAGCTCTGAAGATTGTAATGAGGCCTTCCAGTTGAGACGGAGGGAAGCCTGAACAGGGGAGTATCGAATTGTGGTATTGGGGAGACGGTGTGAATTAGTGGATCTGAGGCGAGCATGAACTGTAATAATGATGATCTAGAAGGTACAAGTAATTAGTAGCCGGGTTACTGAATTTACCACCAGGCAATGCCATCGTTCTCATCTTCAGCGTCGGAAACTCATATCTTGGTCCAAGCCCGGTATCCTTGCGGCAAATCTGAAGAGTGCACACACTCCTGGCACAGCTGCAGACTGGAATTGTCGATGTTGCTGTTGCCAGCGCTGCAATAATCACAGCGCATGGTCACTATCGTGACCAATTTGCGCCTTCGAGCCGACAAGGCCAATGACCTATACGTTTCCGAATATTAAACGAGCTCTTTCTCGTCGTCATTTCTTGGCCATCATGGACCAGGTTCTCAGGTGCTGCTTCGCCTCACTTGGACGCCTTCGCACTGCGAATACCAATGGCTATTGCGAGATCCATAGTTCAATTTACCATCTGCTGAAAGTCTAGTGGCTGAGCGCCCGCTTCTGGTCAGGGTCCGTTCCAAAACGTGAGGATTTGTGAGGATATCACTCACATCTCCCTCAACAGGAGAGAACTCCACCAGATCATTGAAGATCCCTTGCAGCTCTCCGGGTAAAATCCCCTGTGACGACCGGACGTGGCATAGACTCTCTGAGAGCTTCCTTCAGTGCCAGGCGCTGCTCCTCGAACTCAGTTTCCGAGAGCTCAAGAATACCGCTGAGGCCGCCCTTTTCTGCCAAATTGGCTTCCACGAGGGTCACTATCTCCTCAGCAATACACTTCGCGTCCCATCCTTCTCTATAGTCTTCTGAGGGTCTTCGGGTGCGAATTGTGGGAATGCACGGACCATTCAGAGGCTCGCACACTTCGTATTTGACAATCCAGTCAATGCGCTGGCGTGCGTAGGCATCGTAGGGAGCAAGGTTCTCTTTCCATCCGAACTGGGCTGCAGTCGGGTCGAAGATGAAGAGGAGCCCGGGCGCTATGGTGAGAAGACCGACCGTGTGCGCTGGTGCCATGTTGAAGTAACGGGACTCGTCTTCCACCGTGGTCTCGGCATTCTTCGGGATGACGTGCATGAGAAGTATGGAGTGACAGGCAGCTGATGTCCACAAGGGAGAAAGTCAGCTAATTTCTCAAGTGGTCAGGGATGTATACTTGAACGCCCCTTTATCCAGCGCTGATTATGGTGCTCTTACTTACGGCGTATGAAATACTCCAACAATGCTCGCGCTCGGTCTTGAATTGCACAACAGTGCAAGCTATGCAGGACGGCCTGCACTTGAGGAAATTGAAGATGCGATTCCCAAGAAAAGTCCACGTTTATGGAATCCCACACATCCCGCGACGGGTCATTCCGCCTTATCACTCCGTGTGTTTCCGACACCACCATTTCTGTTGGCTGCTGCGTGGCTAGGAGTGAGATTAAATACTGTAAGAAACAATCCTGGAACAAGCGGACCCGGCGGAAGAGATCTTGCTTCTCTTTGTGAAATTCTCCGGGGCTTGCTGAAGTGTCGCTGGAAAATAAACTGGCCAAATCAGGCTGAGCGACTAGGTTGAGTTCAGCGGGGATGCGAGAAGGCCAAGGCTTTTGGACCGGGCAGGTCAAGTCCTTTCGGCCTTGGACCACCCAGAGAAAGTATTGCAGGAGTCGTTTCGTATAAGAAGAGGTGTCCCCCTGAAGGTGCGATTTGTCGCACGTTTCCAGCGCGAGATGGAATAGACCATCTTGCCAGACTCGGTACTTGATCGCAGCGTTGTTTGACACGTCCGGACAACAAGCGCGTTTGCGGATTGAGAGGAGTCCATTGAGGAGTGAACCTCCCCAAATGGCTCTCATTCCGTCCTTTCCAATGACAACAACAAGAAAGTCCAAAACTTCTTGGGCGAGGCTATACTTCTTTTCCATACCTCCCTTCAACAAACCCTTCTCATGTGCCTCGGGGTCGGGTAGGCAGTTGAAGAAGAAGTTCACAGGACCCGCTTGTGTCAAGAACATGCACCATGAGCCTTTTCCCATCCCCATGCTGTCATACTGGCTGGATGGTATTAGAAGGTCGGATAGGTAGTCGACGGCTTTGATCATGGCTGTTTGCGGCCCACGGAGGTCCTCGAGGTCCAGTTGTGCACGAACCCCGAGTCCGAGGCTCTCTCCCGGTGCTGGAAGTCCCCAGGTTTTTAATGTCTTCCTGACGCATTGCATGGATTTCTCGAGGAGAACCTCGATTTCGGCGGTGTCCATGATTTCTTCTCGCGAATGGGGCCACCAATGGCTCAGAGCCAGAGACTGGTGTTGTGGAGGCTGCTGGTGACTGTCAACTGTTTGGCGTTAGATGAGTATGTCTGGGGTAGTGAATTCATTGCTTCGTGGTATAGAATTTTCAGTAACCTGTACTTACTTGCCTACGTCTTGGTAGTTCTCCTTGGGGGGTAGTGATCCTCGACAACTGCGCTGAGGAGGAAAGGGTGGTTTGTGGGTGGTTGGCAATCGTTGGCAAACTTCCAGCAAAGGAGTCTTCAGGCCAGCAACCCTCCTAGAATGTTCCGTTTTGTTTGCCCTGGAACCTGTTGAGCTTGCTTAGTCGGCGGCGACCGAGCTGCTTAGTCGGCGACGCGAACTACGGTGCACTCCATGGTGCAATCGCAGACTCAACGCGATTTTCTCTGTGCACTAGGAGCAGCAGCCTGCAGATTCATGGATATTGCACCTTAACAGCATGAACCTATGTGTAGGTAATTTTGTTCATGCTGTTAAAAAGACCATGAACGAGATATCTCAAGACTCATGCATCATGACTGCCACTCCAAATATTGATGCATGTGGGTGACTGGCGAATTTCTCGCCATCGCCATGTCTTGTTCAGATGTTAAAGCAAGCAAGCACTGTCTTACCTCTGACAGTATTGCACGCTAATTTCATCTCTTCGCGCTTCCTATCTGACCCTTCCAGATGGTGCTTCTGCTACTGGTTGATGGTTGGAGTGAGTGCCAATCACATCTGCAGTCACAAACAGCCATCCAGTCTTCAAGCTGAGGCTAAAGCTGCCTGCTTGGGCCTGGTGACTTGATTCTTAGATCTTCCAAGTAATCATCACAAACTCAATCATGCATTTAGAATCGCCAATGATACAAATCGGATGAAATGCCCTCATCAAAGCTTCTCGATAAATATTGCAGCTACTCGTCAGAGCCTCTCGGCCAACATCGAAGCCGCGTGTCAAAGCCCACCCACGAGTATCAAGCATAGGTCCACCTTTCCCCCACTTCTGTCCGAAGTAACTACTGGCCTGGAGTTTTTGAATGATATGAGCATACATAAAGTTCTCTGAAATTTAAGTGTCCTTGAATGCCGTCCAATCAAGCATTACATAGGTTGCCGAGCTATTTCCAGCCCCAAGTGATGGTATGTCTGTGATCTGTATTGATCGCTTAAGCTGCAGATAACTACGACCCTGCCCTACTGGCGCCTAGCCGGTAAGGTCAATGGGGGCGTTTGAGCTGCCATGAACCGAGGTGAAGCCCGATTTCATCAGTTCCAAAACTCTGCCGAAGCCCTCCGAATCCTTCAAGCAGTGTGCTTCTGCCTCGTCCCGAACCCATTCCAACTTGCTAATCAAGGACCCCTTGGCATCCGCTTTCCGCCCGGTCCGCATCCTCTCTTCGGGAGTCATGCTCTCTACTATGCGGACCATGATGTCGGATATCTTGGAGTCACGTTGCAGTTCCTTCCGGACCTCATGGCCGACCGTGTCCTCGCCCAGGATGATGGTCTTGGCGATCTTGCGCAGGGTCTCGATGGCGTTTTGTTTCGTACCCAGCGGGCTGTCGTCCTTGGTCATCTCGTCGATTGCGTTGACACAGTCACAGATGTCGCTGTATACGTCCCCTGCCATGGTGTACTGGCGGCTGCCGCTAAGCCGCAGCAGCTCGCGGTCGTTGAGCGCGTGCCATGCCGACTTGCTGTAGTGGTCGAAGTTGGTGACGGGCTTCATCTGCGAGAGCGGGACGGCAGGGCGTGTGGGCTGAGAGCTGAGCAGGGGCTGCGGGAGTAGCGGTGGCGGTTGTGGCTTCGCCACCTGTCGCTGGTAGGCCTCTTGTATGGACCGTTGGATTGCCTGGCTGGAGGAGGCGCTTTGCAGAAGCAGATCCCGCAGTGCCTTCTCTTCAAGGGCAGCTATCATGGCAGCCAGGCCAGGGGTCTGGCTGTCTGTCGAGGGAGGCTGAGGAGGCCCCGACGACAGCGGCTCCTGGATGCCGTCTGCACCCTCATCTCGGTGGCAATCACCGCAGTCAGGCTGGCCACAGTCTGTTCCATGGCAGCGGTCCCCTGTGCGTCTCCTCTTGCTTCTCGGAGACATAAGGGTTTCTAGCAGTATGTGGAGGAAATTGGAGAACGGAGCGGATTGAGGGGGTTTGGAACCAGCCGATCATCGTGGCGAGACACGATATTTGTTGTCGTCGGAAAGCGCATGGGTGGCTCGAGCCATTGTGGCTGGGATCCCCATTTTCTGTGGCTGATGACAAGAGGAGTCGATGTCGTCCGTTGCAACTCGTGATATCTTCACTTTTAACCAAACAGCCGCCACAATTTTGGGAGCGAGGGGAAAATAGTGCAATTCCGTAATCTGCTGCACTCAATTAGCGTATACAATCCCGTCCTTCCAGGCAAGGATGTGTTTGCTCCCGAACGTGAATTGGGGCATCTTGGAGTTTCTCAGATCCAGTCACTCTGCCCCTCTCAAAATTGGTACATTTACTCAAAGCTTAAAGGCTGCATGCATTGAACTGTCCTGGCTTTTGAGCCGACTTTTTCGCCCTGAAGCTGTGGTCGATGACGGATTTTGGGGCCGCAACAGACACCTCACATACACTGTAGCAACACCTGACATAAAGCAGTTCTTCACTCGTTCTCCCATGGTTTTCTGCCACCCATACAAAGAGTCTGACCTGATTGCCAGCTCCTGCCCCTTTTCGGATCTCTTTCAGTCTGGTACCAGCTCTTACAAATTTGTCAACTTTGACGAGACTGCAGCTGACGCCCTTGTTCACTTTTGGACACCACCCGGAACTGATGCAACTCCATTCCATCGCATTCAGCAGCCCAATCACTGCTTTGACAGAGCATCAACTTCTCGGTAACTCTCTCATCTCTCCATACAAACATGGCCACCGCGACTTCGGCCTCACCTCCCACCTTCGAGCAGCTTCCTTGCCCCAAGGAGAAACTCTGTGCCATATGCAAGAAACATGATGTCGAGCTAAAGACCTGCGGCCGCTGCCATGGAGCTTGGTACTGCTCCCGAGCTTGCCAGGAAGCAGACTGGAAGCTCCACAAACTCCTTTGCAAGGCCTATTCCAAGGCAGTGCGTCCCCAGGATGGCCAGCTCTACTGCCGCGCCATCCTCTTCCACCCTCGGATGAAGATCCCGGAGATCCATTGGCTCGATTGCCCTTTCAGGGATGGCCAACACGACCTGATGGGAAAAGGTCAAGACCCTTCTGATGTGTACTGCGAAGGTTGGTGTTTCTTTTAATGTTCGCCCCTTAGACGTTAGCTGCGTGCTAACACCTCATCACAAATTGAAGTCGCCATGAACTCCATCTGGCCCATGCATCCATCGAATGGTGTCGACGGCTACGAGATCGAGATTCTGCGTCGAGAGCAAGCCCAGATCTCCAATCCGACAACCAACGAGAGCCTTGCGGCCGCCATAGCGAGTCTTAGCAAGACTCCAGCGAATGCTTGGAAAGGTCCTGTGGTTGTGAGCCGCATGGGACTGGGGTCACACCTTTCAGTCGATGAATTTGCGAAAGAGGTCGACCCCCGCTCCGGTAAGGTGGCGGAGGATATCACCATGGCCGACTTCCGCCGCGCCGTGGAAGGGATAGCGGACTACCGGAGCGATGAGGATCGGATCGGCGAGCATCTCACGATTCACTTGCCTTATCGCCAACTTCGCAGCGGCTGGTCTCTCATGGAAAACTTTACTCCAAATCGTGGCAGGTTTTTGATATCAGCACAGATACCTGGGCGACAGTTTTTGGTGCCGGGAGTTTGGGGTTTTCACCGAGCCTGAAGGCGCGAGCCTTGAGGCGACCTTGAGAAGATTCATGAAATGAAGCAGACGTGGGAGCTGTAATGGAATATGGTGAAGCAATAGCACTAGCCGCCTCTGGACAACTGTAAGTCTATACGAAGAAACAAGATGCGACCTACTCATTTCACACCAAGGACGGGCAGTCCACAATGTGCGCAGAATGGCCTTCAGTACACTTCACCAATAAGACGAAGCCTAACTAGGTCAAAAGACCTAGAAGTATCTGCAAGAGCCTTTCGATTCTGCCTCGTCTATCTAGGATATGAGCCTAAAGATACTGCGTGCGCGGAAGGGCCCCTTCTCTGGTGCTTTGCTGAACATGTACCTGTCCCACGTTGAACATTTCTTGCTTGATCAGACAGCACGAAGACTTCTGAGAGTAACTGTCATGAAGCTACCAACTCCTCAGATGAAAGCAAGCCGGTGGTTGGGGCACGGGTCGTGGCTGGACTGCGGATACATTGTGGGTCGGCAAAGCGGCTGACTGCAGCCTGGAACCACCAGAAAGTCAAATACAAAAGACACGTGCCTTGAAGTCATGTCGATTCGTCCTCGGTTTTGAGCCTGATTACCTTTCGTTGAATCTGCACCGTCTGCCTGCTTGGCGATATCTCCTTTGTCATTGCCAACGTTCTGCTCGCCAAATTCTTTGATTGTCGTAAGTGACGATCCGCTGGCAGAAAGAGTGTGTGGCCTAGCAATGCCGCGCATTGTACTCGTCGATTATAATGAGCCGAAAGCCAGCGAGATGCCTTCGGAGCATGTCAATTGACTTCCTGCTAACCCGGCAGCAACCTTTTGGACGAGGATTGTTGGGAAAACTTTGCTGGCTGGGTGCCCAATTACTGGCAAGACGCACAGGTCCAGCAGCAATGGTTGGTGCGACGATTCAACAGAAATGATCATAGACATCTCTACTATCCGTCACAGAACGTTTTTGATCACATGCTGGCGGAAGACCAGATGTATGAGGCTCCGGGAAATTAGAGTTCGAAGCCAACACCTTCAGCACCGGGCGAAACTATTGCAAGTGCAGAAGGTCCGGCCGGGGCTGAAGGTCTGTTAGCTATGTGGCAGCAGCGTGCACCTACGGGCAACAGCAATGGCACTTGACCCACTAAACCTCCAGCAGCGAATGTGTAAA